GACAATAATATTGATAATAATTATGACGATAATAACAGTAAGAACATTTTTCTTTCATTATTTCATCATCAAATCAGCATTATTATTATCATCATTCTCAGCATTATCATTATCATGATCAAGATAATAATAATGATGGTAACGATGATGATCGTTGTTACTGCTTTATGAATGTTATTTTTATTACAATCATTATCATCAACAACATCAAAAGAAGTAGTATTAGTAATAGTCTTAGTAGAAGTAGTAGTGGCAGTAGTAGCAGTACCAGTAGCAGTAGTAGTAGTTGTAGTAGAAGTAATCATATTAGTAATAGTATTAAGGTAATAGTAGTGGCAATAGTAGTAATAGCAGTAGTAGTAGTGGTAATAGCAGTAACAGTAGTAGCAGGAGTAATAATAGTATTATCATCATTATCATCACTATCACTATTACTAATTATAACCATTATCATTCCTAATTCCTACTACATCAACACTCCCATCATATGCTCATCACCATTATCACAATCATCCTGACCTCTGATCTTGAAACCGCTGCCCAGATAGTCCGTGAAGTCAGGTCGTTGGAGGTCACAGTGTAGAATCAAGGGCGTCGCTTGTATAGGCCTATGTCCCGCCTCGCTCTCCCATAGGCCGCTCTCTGCCATCTCTCTTTTATCTCTTTGGTGTCTCTTCCTTTCGTTTGTCTGTCCTTTCTCTCTCTATCGCTTTCTTCCTTGTCGTTCTTTTATCTCTTTGGACTGTTTGTATATTTATATTTTTATTGGAAACGTGAAGTCTGAGAATACAGGAAAAGAATAATAATAATAATAATAATAATAATAATAATAATAATAATAATAATAATAATAATAACAACAATAATAATAATAATATAATAATAATAATAATAATAATAATAATAATATAATAATAATAATAATAATAATAATAATAATAATAATAATAATATAATAATAATAATAATAATAATAATAATAATAATATAATAATAATAATAATAATAATATAATAATAATAATAATAATAATAATAATAATATAATAATAATAATAATAACAACAATAATAATAATAATAATAATAATATAATAATAATAATAATAATAATAATAATAATATAATAATAATAATATAATAATAATAATAATAATAATAATTATTATTATTTTAATGATAATAATGATGACAATAATATTGATAATAATTATGACGATAATAACAGTAAGAACATTTTTCTTTCATTATTTCATCATCAAATCAGCATTATTATTATCATCATTCTCAGCATTATCATTATCATGATCAAGATAATAATAATGATGGTAACGATGATGATCGTTGTTACTGCTTTATGAATGTTATTTTTATTACAATCATTATCATCAACAACATCAAAAGAAGTAGTATTAGTAATAGTCTTAGTAGAAGTAGTAGTGGCAGTAGTAGCAGTACCAGTAGCAGTAGTAGTAGTTGTAGTAGAAGTAATCATATTAGTAATAGTATTAAGGTAATAGTAGTGGCAATAGTAGTAATAGCAGTAGTAGTAGTGGTAATAGCAGTAACAGTAGTAGCAGGAGTAATAATAGTATTATCATCATTATCATCACTATCACCATTACTAATTATAACCATTATCATTCCTATTACATCAACACTCCCATCATATGCTCATCGCCATTATCACAATCATCCTGACCTCTGATCTTGAAACCGCTGCCCAGATAGTCCGTGAAGTCAGGTCGTTGGAGGTCACAGTGTAGAATCAAGGGCGTCGCTTGTATAGGCCTATGTCCCGCCTCGCTCTCCCATAGGCCGCTCTCTGCCATCTCTCTTTTATCTCTTTGGTGTCTCTTCCTTTCGTTTGTCTGTCCTTTCTCTCTCTATCGCTCTCTTCCTTGTCGTTCTTTTATCTCTTTCGGACTGTTTGTATATTTATATTTTTATTGGAAACGTGAAGTCTGAGAATACAGGAAAAGAATAATAATAATAATAATAATAATAACAATAATAATAATAATTTAACAGTGAAGATTGTGTGTGTGTGTGTGTGTGTGTGTGTGTGTGTGTGTGTGTGTGTGTGTGTGTGTGTGTGTGTGTGTGTGTGTGTGTGTGTGTGTGTGTGTGTGTGTGTGCGTGCGCGCGCGTGTTTAAGAGAGAGAGAGAGAGAGAGAGAGAGAGAGAGAGAGAGAGAGAGAGAGAGAGAGAGAGAGAGAGAGAGAGAGAGAGATGAAGCAGAAAAAGATGATGGAATAATAATTATAACAATAACAAATCAGCAAGAACAAAAACAACGTTAATGACAAAATATATAATAAATTATGATAATAGTGGTAATTATAACAATAATAAAATGATAATAATAATAACAACAATAATAATAATAATAATAATAATAATAACAACAATAATAATAATAATATAATAATAATAATAATAATAATAAAAAATAATAATAATAATAATATAATAAATAATAATAACAATAATAATAATAACAATAACAAAAATAAATAAATAAAATAATAATAATAATGATGATATTAACAATAATAATAATAATAATAATAACAACAATAATAATAATAATAATAATAACAACAATAATAATAATAATAACAACAATAATAATAATAATAATAACAACAATAATAATAATAATAATAATAACAACAATAATAATAATAATAATAACAACAATAATAATAATAATATAATAATAATAATAATATAATAATAATAATAATATAATAATAATAATAACAACAATAATAATAATAATAATATAATAATAATAATAACAACAATAATAATAATAATAATAATAATAACAACAATAATAATAATAATAATAATTTAACAGTGAAGATTGTGTGTGTGTGTGTGTGGTGTGTGTGTGTGTGTGTGCGTGCGCGCGCGTGTTTAAGAGAGAGAGAGAGAGCGAGAGAGAGGAGAGAGAGAGAGAGGAGAGAGAGAGAGAGAGAGAGAGAGAGAGAGAGAGAGGAGAGAGAGAGAGAGAGAGAGAGAGAGGAGAGAGAGAGAGAGAGAGAGGAGAGAGAGAGAGAGAGAGGAGAGAGAGAGAGAGAGAGAGGAGAGAGAGAGAGAGAGAGAGAGAGAGAGAGAGAGAGAGAGGAGAGAGAGAGAGAGAGAGAGAGAGAGGAGAGAGAGAGAGAGGAGAGAGAGAGAGAGAGAGAGAGAGGAGAGAGAGAGAGAGGAGAGAGAGAGAGAGGAGAGAGAGAGAGAGAGAGGAGAGAGAGAGAGAGGAGAGAGAGAGAGAGAGGAGAGAGAGAGAGAGAGGAGAGAGAGAGAGAGAGAGAGAGAGAGAGGAGAGAGAGAGAGAGGAGAGAGAGAGAGAGGAGAGAGAGAGAGAGAGAGAGAGGAGAGAGAGAGAGAGAGAGAGAGAGAGGAGAGAGAGAGAGAGAGAGAGAGAGAGAGAGAGAGAGAGAGAGGAGAGAGAGAGAGAGGAGAGAGAGAGAGAGAGAGGAGAGAGAGAGAGAGGAGAGAGAGAGAGAGAGAGAGGAGAGAGAGAGAGAGAGAGGAGAGAGAGAGAGAGAGAGAGGAGAGAGAGAGAGAGAGAGAGAGAGAGGAGAGAGAGAGAGAGAGAGGAGAGAGAGAGAGAGGAGAGAGAGAGAGAGAGAGAGAGGAGAGAGAGAGAGAGAGAGAGAGGAGAGAGAGAGAGAGGAGAGAGAGAGAGAGAGAGAGGAGAGAGAGAGAGAGAGAGAGAGAGAGGAGAGAGAGAGAGAGAGGAGAGAGAGAGAGAGGAGAGAGAGAGAGAGGAGAGAGAGAGAGAGAGAGAGAGAGGAGAGAGAGAGAGAGAGAGAGAGAGAGAGAGAGAGAGAGAGAGAGAGAGAGAGGAGAGAGAGAGAGAGGAGAGAGAGAGAGAGAGAGAGAGGAGAGAGAGAGAGAGAGAGAGAGAGAGGAGAGAGAGAGAGAGGAGAGAGAGAGAGAGGAGAGAGAGAGAGAGGAGAGAGAGAGAGAGGAGAGAGAGAGAGAGAGAGGAGAGAGAGAGAGAGAGAGGAGAGAGAGAGAGAGAGAGGAGAGAGAGAGAGAGAGAGAGAGAGGAGAGAGAGAGAGAGAGAGAGAGAGAGAGGAGAGAGAGAGAGAGAGGAGAGAGAGAGAGAGGAGAGAGAGAGAGAGAGAGAGAGAGAGAGGAGAGAGAGAGAGAGAGGAGAGAGAGAGAGAGAGGAGAGAGAGAGAGAGGAGAGAGAGAGAGAGGAGAGAGAGAGAGAGAGGAGAGAGAGAGAGAGGAGAGAGAGAGAGAGGAGAGAGAGAGAGAGAGGAGAGAGAGAGAGAGGAGAGAGAGAGAGAGGAGAGAGAGAGAGAGAGGAGAGAGAGAGAGAGAGAGGAGAGAGAGAGAGAGAGAGAGAGGAGAGAGAGAGAGAGGAGAGAGAGAGAGAGGAGAGAGAGAGAGAGGAGAGAGAGAGAGAGGAGAGAGAGAGAGAGGAGAGAGAGAGAGAGAGAGAGGAGAGAGAGAGAGAGAGAGGAGAGAGAGAGAGAGGAGAGAGAGAGAGAGAGAGAGGAGAGAGAGAGAGAGAGGAGAGAGAGAGAGAGAGAGAGGAGAGAGAGAGAGAGGAGAGAGAGAGAGAGGAGAGAGAGAGAGAGGAGAGAGAGAGAGAGAGAGAGGAGAGAGAGAGAGAGAGGAGAGAGAGAGAGAGAGAGAGAGAGAGGAGAGAGAGAGAGAGAGAGAGGAGAGAGAGAGAGAGAGAGGAGAGAGAGAGAGAGAGAGAGGAGAGAGAGAGAGAGGAGAGAGAGAGAGAGGAGAGAGAGAGAGAGAGGAGAGAGAGAGAGAGAGAGAGAGAGAGGAGAGAGAGAGAGAGGAGAGAGAGAGAGAGAGAGATGACATACATATGAAAACACACAATAAACCATTAAAAAAACTTTGCCATAGTTCATAAAAAATATAATAATACATATAATCCCTTCGCTAACACCAAGAGAATCGGATCCCCTCGAAGCGCCCCCTATCGCCCGCCTCTCCGCCCACGTGGTTTCCGGCACCTATAGTCCCCCGTGGCCTGGCATCGGCTGCAAAGGAAGACCTCGACGCCGACCCTCCAATTCCTCTCCTCCTTCGCGTTAAAAGCCACTGAAACCCCTGCCGAAGGACTTGAAGTGTCGGGGAAACAAGGACCCAAGAATCCGTGTTGTGAGGGCGTCGTCGTGAGCATGACCATGATCTCCAAGGGCACACTGGGCATCTGCGCGGGCGTCGCCGGGGCACTGTTCCTCGGGTACTGCATTTACTTCGACCAGAGGAGGAGGAGTGACCCCGAGTTCAAGAAAAAGCTCAGGGAGAGGCGTAAGGACGAGCGAGGTTTTTCTTTAGCGGCTCCAAAAGCGTCTCTCCGGCGCTGACTCGTATCCCCGCCGAGTCATTTTAACGGGGGAGTTGTAGCTTAGGGATTTCTGAGTCATTTTAACGGGGGAGTTGTGAATTGAAGGCATGGGGAAACGAAGGGAACGTTTTATGAATGAATTTGTTTTAGGTTTTTCAATTTTCTTTCAATGTTTTCAAGGGTAGTTTGGAAAGAGAGTTGAGGATTGTAGGGTTTGATGATAGAGAGGACATTGAAGTGTGTGGTCACGGGTTAGGATAAAATTCATGTTGTGTTTATGACCTTGCTTGATATTATGGTATTTGTTAAAGAGAGTGGTATACCCTCTAGAGACTAAGTCCCAAGACCAGAGTTTCATGCAAACCTAAAAATCCAAAGCTGTGGCTATGTTTATGGCATCGTAATCGATGTCTATTGACTGGTAATTACTACGGAGAGCGATACACCCTCCAGAAATGAAATCCCAAAACCAGGCTATCACGCAAACCGAAAATTCCAAACCTAACCTCTCCTACCTTCAGTTTTTTACCCTAGGCAAGGGGTAAGCTTTCTGTACCCTCTTTATTAGCAGTTTGTGGCAAATTATAGAAAACGTGACATTAAGAACTGGCTCTATGATGGTGTTGTGGATATAGTCTCGACGTGGTTATTTTCATCATTGTGCAGTAAATAGGAGGTTGCTGTAGCTGTACGTGTGCTGTTTATTATTCTATTTGGCTAATGTTACCGAGAGTGATGCACAGAGATAGAGGGAAATGGACACAGGCAGGAAAGATTAGGTAAGGATTTTGTTTTTCCATGATAGCCTGGTTTTAGGGCTTCGTCTCTGGAGGATGCATTGCTCTTAGTAACAAATCCCCATTATTTCTTATGCTTTGTAAGATGGCAGTGTCCATTACCCTCTATGTTGCTCTCGGTAACATTAACCGACTATTTTTCTAGGAGTTCTGGTTGTGTGTGTGCATACACACAAGGTAGGAAAGGTTAGGTTTAGATTTTTTTGTTTGCATGATAGCCTGGTTTTGGGACTGTCTCTGGAAGGTTCATCATTCTCAGTAACATATACCCTATATTGTCTAATGCAGGAGACTATGCTCCCTGTTACCCCCCTCCTGGGGACTGCCACCCCTAACTCCCACCCAGAAAAACAAAATCATGGCAGGATGGTGCATTGAACAGCCTTGGCACTCCAGCATGTTGGTTGTGTATGTTCTGGGTTGAGCAAGAATTCCACATTGCACAAATGAGACTGTGGGGGACACCACAATCACCTTACTCAGCAACAGCGCAACCTCACTCGGCATAGTTGCCTCAGCACCAAGTTAGCCGGGGTGACACATCATGATATTTCTATCACTTGCTTAGCTCACTCTCTGGAGGGGGAGTACCCTGTAGCGGCATGACCTGGCAACATGAAGTTCAGCATACTTCCCAGGTCGGGTCACGTCAGGTCCACAGCCATATCCCTGCACTCTCAGTAGCAGGTGCTTCTCTTAACTCACTACAGAGACCTGAGTGGCTGACATGGACACCTCTCGGCTCTCTCACTGAAGAGCGCTCTCCCCTCTTTCCCTGCACGCTTGCACAGCGTACGTGTACTTAAGCCATAGAGTCCAGAACCGAGATAAGCATTCCCTGATCCTCCAGCAAAACATAGCAGCAGCAGGAACAACACTAGGATTGCCCAGACCTTAGCCAACTGGGGAGCATGGCAGTCCCCATGTTGATCTACAGCTTCTCCTTCAGCACCCAGCCATACCTGTGGGGACTCACACCCACGCAATCACTCCATAAAGTGATAAAAACTAGTCCAAGTAGTGTAAGGTGCAATAACACTTGCTACAAGACCAGAACTCCTCTGAAAGATTGTATTGTGCCTATATTTACGTAAATGTAGACACTTCAAAAATCTAAACCTAACCTTTTCTATTTATTTCCTAGATGGGGGGGGGCAAGTCCCCCTCTACCCCACCCTTTTTAGTACATGCCAACCTACAGAAAAAGTGACATTGAGAGCTCTGGCTATATATGGGTGTTGTTTGCTTAGTCTATGAGCAGTTATATACAGTAGATATTTTTGCCATTTTGTCATTTCACAGTAAATATGAAGCGAGAGCAGCTGTACGTGTGCTGTTTTCACTGTTTCTTATGCTCTATAAGTTGACAGTGTCCATTTACCACTATCTCAGTAGGTTGCTCTCAATAGTATTACAAATAATATTTGATGCAAGTTGCAGTGTTGAGAGATAAGACTGGAATTGCTGAATCCACAGTGTTCCATAATGTGCCTTGATAAGATTTCACAGAAAAGAAAAAGCCAATAGATAAGTACATATCTCATGTAGCTCAGAAACTAATTTTAACTTGCATATTCTTGGGACCTTGCCTAACCCCCCATATCTCCTTCCCTCCTTGCTTGCTAGCATAGCTAATACCATAGAATATTGAATATTGAAAAAGTAATTATTTATGAGATGCCCACATATCCTGCATTGGTAAACAAAACTCATGTGTATGTATATGTAATATGTATATGTACATAATGCATATACATATGTACGAATATGTATATATACATTCATATATGTACATTGTGTGTGCATGCGTGCATGTGCACGCATGTATACAGTAAGTCCCCAACTTAAGAACATAATGGGGACCGAGAGGCTGTTTGTAAGTTGATTTGTTTGTATGTCGAAAGTCGGACCTCCATTACCTTTTATCCCATTGTTTTAAAGTTTTGTTTACATTAAGAATACCTGTAAATAAATTATAATAAGTACAACATACCTTATACAGTACCAGACTCTTGAACTATATTCGTGCCCGGGAAATTTGAAGTTTGCTAGCATCTTTCAAACAATTTTTTGGACTTTAGTACTTAAAAAAATTTGTTTGTATGTATGGAATGTTCATAAGTAGAATGTTCTTAAGTAGGGGACTATCTGTATATGCATATATACATGTATAGAGGCCTGTAACGTATTGATCGTTTAAATACACCTCGAGAGGTGTATTTAAAGTTAATGCTTTTCCAAAGGTGTATTTAAAGTTCATCCTTGAACTAGAGATCTGGATTAAACTTTAATACCAGATTAACTTTTATGGCATATACAGAAGACACTAATAATGTCAATGATAGCAATAGCAGTATTAAGTTTAGTAGCATTAAAAAAAAAAAACACAAATTCAATGAATAGAGAAATGAGGTGAGATCATCTTGGGCTACTCCCTGGAGGCCAAGCATTTGTGGAGCCATCTCTGTTAAAAAGAAAATTGTAAACTGTGGACAATGGGTATACCCTTATACAAAGCATTAAGTGATGCCAGCAGATACAGAACCTTAGCTTTGAAACACTGTATCAATCTCAGGCCTATACTGTTTCCCATGAAAAATTGTTTCCATCAGAGAATGGTGGAAAAAAAAGTTTTCACTGGTTGATTATATTAACCCTGTTCCATATTTAACCCAATGGCGCCGGGTGTACAAAACAAAAAAAAAACTCAACACTTAAACAAACAAAGGCGGCGTGAGTAGGGGACATCAGCCCGAATCACTGGCTCGTCGCGCTTTGGCGCGCCGCCGGCTCGTTTGGCTGCACGCCAGCTTTCGAGCTCTTTGTTTACACGCCGATCGGCGTCACCCGGCACCAAGGGGTTAAAAAACAATGCTTTGACCTCATTTTGATTGTGAGTAGACTGATAACAAGTACATGAAAAAGTAAAGATGATTTAGTTGGATTATAGTTGATTTATTCTGTATAATAAAAGTAGGCTGGGGGATTTTTTTATTTTAGGGATTAAATTTGTCCCATATTGTCTTTTCAGCAAGATATTAGAAGTTCTAATGCTTCTTACTGTAAAACTGTTAAAGGAGTTGCTTTACTGGCATGTTTATAATATTCATAGTGCCTGTAATGAGCTCCATATATTTTGACTCCATTGACCCATCTCTTTTATCTGACAGGTCGTAAGACAGCCAAGAGCAGTGCAGCAGGTGGCAAGTCAGTCAACTGGCCAAACCTCAAGGATCAGGAGGCTGTGCAGAAGTTCTTCCTCGCACAGGTCCAGGTAAGTTACCGATAATCTGATTTGAGATTTGGTGTTTTGTATTGTTTCTTGTATTACTGATATCTCCTTAACCCTTTGCCACTGGGTGGCATATACATACATGCCATGGCATGCCTGGACTATATTCTAGATGGCATGTGCATACTTGCCATGATACACTGGTTCCACTTTGCGGGGGCATTCATGGTCATGCCATGCACACTATTGTGCCGATACAATCTCCTGGCAGCGAGGCCCAGGCCACTATGAATACAGCCCAGGAGAGAAGGCTTTCACATCTGGAAACCACTCAGCGGCATTAGGTTAATCTCTGCATTCTGGAGATATAGAATAGGTCTTGGGAATTTAAAATTCCAGTATATAACATTTGTAGATTAGTCTACAGCAAAAAATCTCTTGATTTTTTTTTTTATTAGGGCACAAAGACAGATTTACTTCTGGCTCTCTGACCTATCTTGTAGAGTGGTATATCCTCTGAGCCAGTCATTAACTGCTTCACACTATTTATTTCATTAGAATTATGGGATTTGGAGAGTTCACCCATGTGGTTCTATATGCATTGTAAATTTCAAAGTTGTCATCAAATTCTGAAATACTTGAAGTTTTTTAAATGTCCTGCTCAGAATGAAGGTCATTAGAAATTCTAAAGTTCGACTTTACTGAGAATTAGAATTATTTTGTTGGGAAAGAGTAAAAACTTGCCTTGAGTAATGGCCACATAAAATGATGCTTTGGCTTTTAGACTGTGATAGACCTACCTTGTGCCAGAATCTGTTTTCCGTGCAGTTACTGCACTCTGCAGTTTTGCATTACATGATGAATTCATCATATTGGTCTCTAACCTTTATAATTCAATAATTTTGTTATTAAAATATCAATAACACATTTTTTATCATTCTCATAAGGCTATAGTAGATGGTAAGGTTGCCCATCTACTATGTTTAGTCTGGTGTCTTATCTCTTTATGGAGTGACTGTGTGGGTGTGAATGCCCACGGGTATGGCTGGGTGATTGGAGACTATTGTTGGAGTTCTACGGGGAGCCGGCTGGCTCCCCAGTCGGTTAAGGACTTGGCAGTCCTTGAGTGCCGTTGCTGTAGTCTGTAGTCTGGAGGATCGGGGGTTGCTGGTCTCGCTGAGAGCTCTGCAGCTTAAGTACACTAGCGCTGTGTAAGCACGCAGGGAACGAGGGGAGCCCGCTGGCCAATGAGCGCAGCCAGCGGCGGCGGACCTAGCATGACCCAACCTGGGAAAGTATGCTGAGCTTCAGGTTGCGGGGTCATGCTGCTACAAGGCAACATGAAAATTAGGAAAGAAATTCCAAATTCTGTGCTTGTTTTGTGGCCAACAGTTGACCAGTTAGCTTCCAGTTGGCCTCCTCTGAGAGAGGGATACCAGACAAATTTGTCATAGCTAATGCAGGGTATTAAATCTACTCTTCCATTGAAAGCCAGTGGAAACTTGTAAGATGAATTCATCACTTTGGGCAATACAGGGTTCGTAGATCTTGATAAAGTGTCCTCAGCATCAGTGATGAACTTCTATGCTTAGTAATATGATATCATGTTAGTAATGACAGACATATTTTATCCCTGTGACTGTGTTAGGCAACTTCCATCATATTTTTAAACTATTATTCATGTTTCATTCATCTTACCTCTGAGGAGGTAAGATATTGAGCATTCTTACAATCAAACAAATCATTCCTAACAAGAAAAGCAGAGTACACATTAGCACTTTCATTTACAAGCAGATGACCATAGAATCCCACCCACTGTCAGAGGGTTAATCAATACCATAAAACTTTGAGTACTTGTTATTCAATAGCACTGTCATTCCTTGTCCTTCCCACAGGCTGGAGAAGAGCTGTTGGCACAAGGTGAGGTGGAGGCGGGCGTGGAGCACCTGAGCAGGGCTGTGGCAGTGTGTGGGCAGCCTCAGCAGCTCCTGCAGGTCCTACAGCAGACTCTCCCCCCTCAGGTCTTCCAGATGCTCCTTCAGAAGCTGCCAGCAGTCGGGGAGGTGGGTTGAAAGCGCCTGTTTTTGTATCTCCTTTTGTTCTGTCTTTTCATTGTCATGGCCTCTTCACTTCCCTGTCTTTTTCAACATTTCTTTTTCTTTACTTTCTCATTTTCTGTTGCTTCTTCTTTGACTCCTCCTCCTCCTCTTCTTCCTCATCTTCATCCCTTACCTACTCATCTTCCTCATAACCCTCTAACCCCCTTCTTTTTTTCTCCTCCTCCTCCTCCTCCTCTTCCTCTTCCTCTTCCTCTTCCTCTTCCTCTTCCTTCTTATAATTATTCTCATTCTCATACTACTTCTTCTTCTTCTCTTTCTCCTTCTTCTCTTTCTCCTTCTCCTCCTCCTTCTCCTCCTCCTCCTTCTTCTCCTCCTCCTCCTCCTCCTCCTCCTCCTCCTCCTCCTCCTCCTCCTCCTCCTCCTCCTTTTATTATTCTCATTCTTCTTCTCCTCTTCCTACTCCTCCTCCTCCTTCTTTTCCTACTCCTCTTCCTCCTCCATCTTTTTATTATTCTCATTCTTCTTCTCCTCTTCCTCCTCCTTCTCCTCTTCCATCTTTTTATTATTCTCATTCTTCTTCTCCTCTTCCCCCTCCTTCTCCTCCTCCTTGCTCTTCTTGTCTTCCTCCATCTTTTTATTATTCTCCTCCTCCTCCTCCTCCTCCTCCTCCTCCTCCTCCTCCTCCTCCATCTCCTCCTCCTCCATCTCCTCCTTCTCCTTGCTCTTCTTGTCCTAGCTCTTCTTGTCCTCCTCCTTCTTTTCCTACTCCTTTTCCTCCTCCATCTTTTTATTATTCTCATTCTTCTTCTTCTCTTCTTCCTCCTCCTCCTCCTCCTCCTCCTCCTCCTCCTCCTCCTCCTCCTCCTCCTCCTCCTCCTCCTTGCTCTTCTTGTCTTCCTCCATCTTTTTATTCTTCCCCTCCTCCTCCTCCTCCTCCTCCTCCTCCTCCTCCTCCTCCTCCTCCTCCTCCATCTCCTCCTTCTCCTTGCTCTTCTTGTCCTCCTCCATCTTTTTATTATTCTCCTCCTCCTCCTCCTCCTCCTCCTCCTCCTTCTCCTCCTCTTCCTTCTTATTATTCTCATTTTTCTTCTCCTTCTCTTTCTCTTCCTCCTTCTCCTCCTTCTCCTTGCTCTTCTTGTTCTTGTCCTCTTCTTTCTCCCTCTCCTCCTCCTACTTTTTTCTTTCTCCTCCTTCCTCCTATTTTTCCTTTCCTTATTTTTCTTCCTCCCCCTCTTCTTTTTCCTCTTCCTCTTTTTCCTCCTCCTCCTGCTCCTCCCTTCTCCCTTCTCCCTCCCTCTATTGTTTACTCTATTTTGCGCCAACCAGCAGGATCAGGAGTATTAATTTCTCTTCAGTTAATTGTATTCTTCAGTTGCGCTTAATTCTCTTATGCCAATCATTTCTCTGTTATCTGGTTATTCTTAGGTCCCTGCTGTTATATTTTCTGTGATTGCATTTCACCCTTTGACTCCTTCATCCCTTAATCATCTCTCTATTTCTCCTTCAGAGCATCCTACAAGCAGCTGGAGGGCCCAAAGTGAGCGAGGAAGATGTGGAATGAAGGCCGAGGCAGCAGTGTTTAATTTAAGGCACCCTCCCCCTTGCCCTCCTTCAGAAGTGACTCCATGTTTGGAAGTGTCTTTAAAGGGAGAACACCTTATTGAGCTCCCCCAACCCTCCACTACCACCACAACCACCTCCTCCTCCTCCTCCTCCTCCTCCCTCATACCTTTCATCATGTACTCCCAAAGATTGTGATACTGTTAGTGGCGTACACACACACACAGGTACACATACACAAGGACACAAGATTGGACTACTAGCTTAAATATCTCTTGTTGGCTATACTGTTACATAACGAAGAAAGGAGGTGGAATCAGTAGAAGATTAAGAGAACGTGTTGCATTATGCTATGTCTCGATCAGGGATGCCCAAGGCCTGCGAGCGCAAAGGTGTCTTGGCGTAAATACCATGGTACAAAAATGGGAAAGAGGAAAATATGGAAATTGTGTAGTGGGCCGTGTGTGTGGTCTCGCAACATTGCTTGGATGATTATGATTACATTCAGTTTGTCTTACATTATTTATGAAAATGTAGATGCAGTGTAGTTATTGTCAAGTGACTTTTTCCTTGTTTATTTTTGGCTTGATAGTTCTTTCATTTTGGATGCTATTATCATTGTTATTATAATTGTGTGTTTTTACTCTATATATGTTTGATATGTATACATAATTGTTTTTTTTCTTTTTCTTTTTTTTTTCTTTTTTTTTATGTTTTCTAGTAGTTTTGAGTTCATTTAAGAACTTCATCTCATGAGCATAATTTATCATATCACATCATCGGGATTGTTAGCCATGTGTATAGTTGTTCCACCAGATAATGCAGGCAGAACAGTCTGAAATGTGATTTGAATAGAAATCTAGCATATGTTCCCTTTTTTTCTTCTTTCTTTCCATTTCTTTGTTATTAAAGTTGTTTCTTCCATCTCAAATCTCTGCTTTCCCATTTTTTTTTTTCTAATGAACAGTTATACAACACCTTTTATATTTTTCTCTCCCCTCTTTTCATCACTCTCACTTTCACCCCCCCCCCCCCCCCCCACATTCACCACTTCACCGGAAAAGTTTGTGTTCAGCCAGCTTTTTATTTTTTATTTTTTATTTCCTTCTCCTCCTGTAGATAGCAGCAGCAGCTTCAGATAACACAAAACACACCCCTATGGCTCTTGGGTATCATTGGCGGGTCAACTTGTGTGTGAAGAAAGAGATGTTTTTCCTATTATAATTTTTTTGTATTTATTATTATTATTATTATTATTATTATTATTATTATTGTTGTTGTTATTGATTTTATTTTTGTTGTATAACTGGTGAAGGTGAGGATTTTTATGTGAATTTTCATTGCTGGTATCAAAACGTGTTACTGTATGCATGTCTGTATATATAATTTGTTCTTTTCTTTTAATTACATGATGACCCTTTTTCAAAGCCACAAGACCGCCACTCTTTCGGGTATACTGTTCCTTCAGCCATATGCAAGGGGTACCTAGGTCCTTCACATTGTGATTGTGTGTATTTCTGTTGATGTTGGAAAGAATGATTTCTTCTGATTATTTATGTATTTTCTTTTTTTCTTTTTAGTAGCTTTCTACTTCACATAAAAAAAAGAGAGAGAGAGAGAGAGAGTGTTAATGTAAACTCCCGGAGCTTTAAATGAATGCATGTGTGAGAGTAACATTCGAGGCAAAGTGTATTTTTTGTATTGCGAGCACAAACTTTGTTTTCGTCCCCATTGGGTATTTCTTATCATTATAACATCTAGATAACAAATACATATACCATGGTGTTCATGGTGTTTCATCAGCCACACACTGCCCAGTCATTTTCAGTTTTGTTGAAGTGGAGAAAATCCTTTTATTGATTTTGTATTTGTTTTTTATTGATTTTTTTTCTATTCACTTTTACCCAGTTTCTATGTGGTTGTACAGCTGGACTAATTAAGTCTGAAAATGATGTTCATGATATATGGAACTTGTGACTTCTCTGGGGCTAATAACCATCTAAGAATGGCTTTAAACATGTCGTGAAAGAACCAAATTCCAGCTCAGTCTGCGTATCCTTTTTCTGTTTTATTCAAGTAACAGAACGCATATTTTGGAACAGCAGCATCATCGTGGTAGAGAGGATGACTCCCCATGTCTCGCAGCATCAGGATGTGTACTGTTCCTGCTGTGTGTTATTTCAATAACAAGATTTCAGGGTAGAAAGTATCCCATGTACATTATGTACTATAAACCATATATTATGTATGTGGTGCATCAGTGTTTATTTTATTTTTATAATTATCAAAACATTTTTTTTCTTTTTCTTTTTCTTTTTTTATTGCGTTCCTCGTGAGGTACGGTGGAACACAAACTCCCTGGGAGCAATGTGAAAGATTTATATAACATAAATGCAGTGTAAAAAAAAAAAAATCTGTGAACGCTCTCAGTGGTGTTAAAAATCGGATTTCTGTAAATACTAGTGCACTATGTTTAAGGAAAATAAAAAGTTTTCTGTACCGCTTGTTTTCTTTGCCTTTTGATCCCCCCCAATCCCTTGCCCGTTGTTGTCGTGGGGGGGCTTAGGAGGCGGAGACTGGGACCCAATGATGGGAACTCCCCAACCTTGGGACTCAGCCCTCGACTCAACTAATTATGCATGGCCTTTTTCCCTTCCCACTTTTGTTTCTATCCCTTCACCAAACCCTTCTGCTATCCACCTCCTAAGGTGTGAGAGCCGTGCTGAAAGGATGAAAGGCTGACTTAGTGCCAGTCCTGAACGGCCTGAGGGAGCCATGGGCACGGTATTCCCCTGATTTAGTTCTAGCCCTTACCCCTCAAGGGGACCCTGAGGGGTGGACTGTTTTTATCCCCAACATCATCCAGGCTTACCATGGCCAATAATGAAAATCTATCTCCACTATTAGGGGCAATGAGGCTTGCCCCTTTATCAAATAGCCCCAACGAAGTAAACCCACCCGATTCCCAGACCCCAGGCTCTCCTTTGACCACGGCTCCGAACACTGTAATAAATACCCCTTCATCAATGCCTAATAGTACAATAGCCAACAACCAACCCTCAAGGAACATTTCCACTCTCCCAACAAGCTCAACTTCAACACCTCTACCCCCACAACCTCCAACATCAACCACTCCATCCTCCCTTATTACCTTACAGCCTTATTGCCCACCTCTCCGTAACACTACCTCCATCAACACTACTCCATCTTCGTCACGCCCCCGCCCCTCTACCACCCCTACAACAATCTTGAACACTCTCTTTAGTGCAGCCAAATGGGACCGATTTTTCGTGATCCCTCCCACAGCTCCCTACTCTGACAACACCCTTCTCTTCCAACAATGCCTCCAAAAACAAGTAGGTAAAGTCTCTTTCCGTAGCCGACCCGACCGCTCCCGTCTTGTAACAGTAACATCCGAAAACCAAGCCATTGCATTAACAAAACTAACTGACCTATACGGTAACCCCATCCTAGCAGAACCCCATCCAACCTTCAATACTTGCACCGGAACAGTCTCAATCTCACCAGCAAATTGCCCAATCTATGACAAAGATTGGTCAGATTGTGGAGAAGATCTACTTGCCTGTCTCACAGACTACGATGCAACATCAGTACAATGCTACTCCATCCCCCCCAGAGGTCATCGAAAGAAACCCACTAACATAGCCAAAATTACCTTCCGTAGACATGACCTTCCCCTTAACGTCTACATAGGAGGAGAATCCCTCCCTGTTCGTCCATACCAACCTCCTCCACGTCAGTGCCAAAATTGTTGGCGTCTAGGACACCCAGCCAAACACTGCCGTTCCACAGCCAGATGCCCATTATGTGCCCAACCTGGCCATACCCGATCTAACTGCTCTGCACAATCACGCACATGTGCCAACTGTGGCGGCCCCCATAATGTATTTTATAGGGGCTGTCCCACCTACAAATTTGAATCTGAGGTAGCAACTCTCAGATTCAAACTCGGACTCACACTGCGTGAAGCCAGACAGGAAGCACGTCGACGTGGATTCTCTCTTACTCCTTACTCCAGTAATACTGCTCATTCTAACACTTCTCCTAAACCCACCCCTCCTACATCTAACCCCCCCACTAACCCCACCTACCTTCCCCAGTCAAACTCTTTTGCCATCCTAAATCCAGAAACTCCAATCTCTACTACAGATACCCCAATCACCACTACAACCCCAACACCTTCCCCTCTCCCTCCTCGCACTCCCCGTAACAGACAGAACAAACGTTCCACCCCCTCTTCCCCTACCACACAATCACCTCCATCATCCTTTGCCCCTACTCTTGAGACACCAGTCCTCTCTTCTCCCCCTCACAAGAAATCCTTTATCCCCCAAAACTCTCTTGAGACACCAGCATTCTCTTCCCCCCCTCACAAGAAATCCTTTATCCCACAAAACTCCCCAACCAACTCCATTGAAGAAACTCTTGAAAATATCCAAGACTTCTTAATGAAAACTGACCCCCATCAACCTTCAAATCCTACAATTCCTGCTTCCTCCGCACACCAAGTGACTGCCGATATCCATCCTCCTCCTAACGATATCCCCCCTACACCCTATCCTCCTACCCCCTCCCAACACAACCCATCCCCCCCAACTCCAACCCCACCCACATTAACCCTCCCACCATCCCCTCTATCCCTTCCACTCCCTCCTGGATACACATATGAATCCCTTATATCACAAGCATCCCTTTCCACACCCGTCTAACACACCCCTATCTGATGTCGCAATCCGATCCAACCCTATGCTCTTTATGTAATGTTCCTCTTTCAGTCTCACACATTCTATTATCATGCACACGCTTTGAAGCAGCCTGTAGCTCTGCTTCCCCCCCCCCCCCCCACCTATTCTCCCTTCGACAACCTGTTTTCCTCTCAAACACATAAATATCCCTCACTTAATCTAACCCCTTTACATTACCTCACCCGACCTTAACCCATTCACTCACCAATTCCTTTGCCCAGCTTTGTTAACTAATCACTAACTTAACCACCCTTTACTAACATTTACTATAGTGCTACATGACCTTAGATGTCTAGCACATTTATTTTTGCTTTTAACCATTAACCATTTGCCTTTTGATAAGACATGCATTATGTATTAGTGTATGGTTTATAGATCCTGTGCATTCTTAACTTGGATTGGTTGAATTTCATAGTTTTAAGTACTGTATATCATGATATATACATCTATGTATACATATGTGGAAGTTAAAACAGAAAACTATATTGACCTAGAGATCCAAGACCATATTCTTATCCATTGCTGCCCCCCCCCCCCAATCCCTTGCTCATTGTTGTGGGGGGGCTCAGGAGACAGACTGAAGGGGATCACCTCTACCTTGGACCTCAGCTCTCGCCTCAACTAATCTTGCATGGACTTTTCTTCCCCTTTCATTTTCCTTCTTTTCTTCCATCCCTTCTTTCAACTTATCCTAACTGTTAATTAATTTTTACCCTTTTGCCACAATACTTTATCATAATGCTATATGACCTTTGATGCCTGGTACATTTATTTGCTTTGACCATTAACCATTCTGGAATCCCCAAACATTGCCTTACAAACAAAAAAATCTTCCTTTCCTTGCCTCGATGCCCCACCCTGTCGCTATATTCTATTTATGCTGCTAATGAATAGATGTTTACACTGCAGAAAAATTTCAATAAATAAATATCTGTCTACCTACCCATCTATCATTCTCCTTATCTATCTACCTACCTACCTTCCTAACTTGTCTACATGTCTACCTACCTGCTTACCTGTCTTTCTGTTTACCATACTACCTACCTACCCATATACCCATCTACTTACCTAACAACCTGTCTACCTACTGTACCTACTTATATGTATACCTACCCATCTGTCTGCCTGCCTGCCTCCCACCCTCTCTGTCTGTTTGTCTGTCTGTCAGTCTGCCAACCAACCAACCTACCAATCTATCTACCTGTCTATCTATCTATCTATCTACCTACCTGTCTACCTTCCTTCTGTCCTTCCTTCTGTCCTTCCTTCTTTCCTACCTACTTTCCTACCTTCCTACCTAAGAACCTTCCTTCCTTCCTTCCTACCTACCTACCTTTCTTCCCTCCTATATATATATACACACTGATAAGAATATTGACAAAGATAAGATTAACAGTGCTTAATGATAATAATAGCAACTAAGAGCAATGATAATATTAGAATTAATCATATTTACAATAGTGATAATGGCCATAACATTGATAATGCTGATAATATGATTAAAATAATTTTGATATTTGTTAATGTTGACAATAATAAAAATAATGATGATGGTTATAATGTTGTTAATTAATTATGATAATGATGATAATCAACAATAATGATTATATCTACAAGACTGAAATAATCACAGCAGTATTACGAACAGAAATGCTCAAATAATAGCAACACTAACTATTGACACAAGATGAGCGGAGGAACATTTAAAATTCTGCGGGAAACACACGCCGTGTTTCACTTACCGCACCCGTTCTCTTCCATTCACTGAAAAAAGCTGAAACATGCTCACAGTTTGTCCTGTTATGATACTACATGGTATTGTTCATTAGGTATAATAACATTAGGAACAGAGGCACAGAGAGAGAAGGAGAGAAAGTGAGAATAAGAAATGGAGAGTAGGAAAGAGGGAGAGGAAAAAAGGGAGAAAGGGAGAAGGAGAGAAGAGAAGATGAGGGGAGGAGGAAGAGGAGGAGGAGAGAGAGAGAGAGAGAAAGCAAAATTGTAATCCGGTGTATCTGACAGTGATATGGAGCTAGTAAATGTAAACATATATCATACGTTGATTGTACAGTACAGTATTTTTTTACACAGAGATACCTATGAAATAGAAATTTCTAATTACAGAGGAAATGCAATCCCCTTACGTCAATAAGGTTGAATTTAAACATTACTAAAGATAAAAGATTCAGACGCAGAAAAATCCTTTTATTATTTTGAGAAATAAGCCTGTTTCAAAATAACTAATCTACTTAATTAAAACATCTGTAAATTAAGTGTCATGGGTTGTTCATGACCTATCATAACAACGATAATAATTATAATTATACTGTAGTGATAAGGATAACGTTAACGTTAACAGTAATAATCACTGAAGTGTTAACAGCATTAATGTTAATGCTGTTAATAATAAATAATAACAATTGATAATAATATTGACAATTCACGTCAGGAGTAATAAAAGCAAACAAGTATGTAAAGTCACCTTTATCTCAAATGTTACTAAAAATCCAACATTCCGGTTATTAATATATATGTCTTCACAACTCACATCCCTGTTATAATACTACATTCACAACACTGTTACAACGATCTCAATTTGAAAAAAATAAGCAAGAGACTTTTCTCAAGATAAGTAAGATAATTATAAATAACAACAACAACAAAAAATATATATATTCTTGATTTAATTAATCTAAAAACAAACTCGGTTATTTTCACAAACGATGTTTTTAT